AAATAGCATTTCCTTCCTAGCACAGAGGGAGGGCAGTGACTAAGAACTCGGAGCTCAGTTTCTCCATCTGTAAGATGGGATTGTGAGGACTAAGTGAGATGATCCACATGAAGCCCTAGCACTGTCCTGTCACACAGTAGGCACTCAGTAAATATCAACAATTCATTATGACATTACGGTCTCTCCCCTACCCCACAGCTCCTTCAGGCTCTGGCATACAGTAGGTGTCCACTGAATGCTTACCCAGATGACCAGCAGGTAGCCCCTCACCCAAATTATCCTATACTGCCAGCCACCAGTTCCTCTGAACCCCAGAGAACTGGTTTCATTGAGTCACTAGCTGCTTTCTCCTGAGAAGATATAACTGGCATACTGCTGGGCAGCTTAGTGCATCACCTAGCCGATGCCTGGGCTGTGCTGGTGACCAAGGCCTTTGGGTTCAGCCACCCCTCTCCCCTTCACCTTTGCAGCCCTGTCCCACCCTTGTGAGGATTACTCCCATTTAGCAAATAAGAAAACTGAGTCTGGCGAAGTACATGATCTGCCTGAGACCAACATCTTACTTTAGGTTGTGTGTGGTAGCTCATGGCTGTAATCCCAGCACTTTGGTAGGCCAAGGTGGGAGCATCACTTGATGCCAGAGTTCAAGACCAGCCTGAGCAACATAGCAAGTCACAGTCTTTAAAAAATAAAAAGATTTTTTTTTTTCAATTAGCCGTGGTGGTAGCACATGCCTGTAGTTCCAGCTGCTCTGGAGGCCAAGGTGGGGGAATCGCTTGAGCCCAGGAGGTCGAGGCTGCAGTGAGCTATGATTGCAACACTATACTCCAACCTGGATGACAGAGCAAGACCTTGTCTCAAAAAAACAAAACTAACTGGCTGGGCACGGTGGCTCAAGCCTGTAAGTCCAGCACTTTGGGAGGTCGAAGCAAGAGGATTCCCTGAGTCCAGGGGTTTGAAATCAACCTGGGCAACTTGGTGAGACCTTGTCTCTACAATATGTCAAAAAATTAGCTAGGCATGGTAGCACACCTCTGTAGTTCCAGCTATTTGGAAGGCTGAGGCAGAACGATCGCCTGAGGGTGGCTGTAAGCGTGCCACTGCACTCTAGCACACATAAAAAAACTAACTTTACTGATGAGGTACCTCAAAAATGCCATCTTGGCCAAGGCTTCTTGTAAATCAAAGCTCAGACCTCCTGGCTCCAGACAACCCCACTCTATCCCACACATACGGGTGAGAGGTGGGCTTTCCAGACCCTTCCTTGTCTTCTGGCCTTGATTCCAAGGGGTAAGCAAGCTGGCTGACTCACTAGGAATGCAAAGGTTTGGCCGAAGGCAGCCAGGCCTAAAGCAGCCAGGTCTGGAGACAGACACACAAGGCCTGCCCTCCCCCTACCCCATGCCTGCCAGGGAGTTTCAATCAGGCCTGGAAGCACTGAGACCCCTGCAGAGGCTGTAGCAAGCTCCATTTTGAGGTTCAATTCTGATGTTGCAGTGGAGGGGCTGAATCGAGGACAGAGAGGGGTTGGTGTAGAATAGCAATGAGCCAGACTGCTGGAAACCAGCCAGCCTCAGGTTCGGAGGACAGTCAAGGGAAGCATCACTGGGAAAAGATGTCACACGCACACAGATGCATATGTACACATGTGTATAAACCTCTTATGGAATTCTTTACTGAAAGCTCCCAAGGAAGCAACCATGGAGCCCATGTGAAAGCCTGTGTTTCGGGACTAGCTGATGTGAATGTGAACACTTGGCTTCTTAGCTCAACTGTTATTAGCTGATTGTCGGGGATTTGCTCCCATTTCACAGACAGCCACACGGAGGACCAAAGATGAGTGTGACTTGGCCAGGCATCCAGCCTCCCAGCCCTGGCTTGTGAGATCTACACCTGATAACCAAAATCACAAACCAGGCCCTGGACTGGGCTTGTTGCTGGGCCAGGCTCTTCACAGGATCTTGGATGTGTCCAAACAGATATAGGAGATGAGGGGGGCAATCCTTCCATCTTCTCCTCTGCTAACTGCCTCTGCTGTATCACCTCCCCCATCTAGTCACAGGAAGGGCCATGCTTCCTCCCTCATAACAGCAATAGGCCAGGTGTGACCAATAAGAATCCTTCCCTGAAACTGGCAGCAGACACCTGAGCAGATGACCTCTCAGAATATGACTTCTTCAACTCTGGTCTTGCCCATGGATAAGGCCAGTGCAGGTGGAGGATCAAGGCCAGTCCCAGGGAGAAGCACAGACTGGTACCGCTGAGGGGCAGACAGAGCCCTAAAGCACAGTTCAACTGTCCCTAAGGCCTTGTTCTGCAGTTCTGCCTTCTGCAGTTCTGCCTTCAACTCTGTAATCTATCAGGTACCCTTCTCAGTCACTGGGGTACATAAATTCTCTTTGGCTTAAACTGCTCCTGGACACCTCTTTCCCCAGAAAGCCACGTCATTCCTCCATAGACCACATCAAGGCCATGATTCAGCACACGTTTGGGTGATGTTTTTGCCTTCTCCCTCATGAATGTAGACTCCCTGAAATGAAGCTTTCACTGCAGACTTCCTTGCACCTAGCACCGGTTCTCAGTTACACTGGGTGCTTGGTAGCCAAGTGAGGGATTCATCTGCACCATTGCAGCTTATAATAAGATGGACTGTATCTACCTCTGTGTCTGGTCAGCATGTCACTAGACCTATAGAGTACACTAGGAGGGTTGACCTGAACTGCAGGCTCCACAGGGTTCCTAGAATTTATCTGGCTACAACCCTTGAAGCCCAGAACTAAAGCCAAGGCCCAGAAGGCCCACATGATGCTGCTCTGGGGAGAAAGCCCTTGGAAGGGAAACCACATGAGTGAAGAGCTGATTTTCTTGGTGGAAAGTGCTTGAGGTAGATTTGGGGCTGGACTGCTCTTTCCTCATCCAGCTCTGAATACTTCTCTCTTCCTGATAGCTAAGGAAGCTGGGTGGCTTATGGGTGCTGTGCATGAGTTATGTATCTGGCACCCCACTAAGTACTTCACATATATTGTCTGTCCAAATCCTTCAGATGACCAGAGAAACTGAGGGACTTATTCAAAGTAACCAGGTTGGGAAGTGACAGAACATCTCAGGAGTGCTTCCTTGTCCCCTGCCTTCTAACATCTCTGTACTCTCCCCCATGCCCTGAGGAAAGGGGGCAAAGGACAGAGCATGCTGCAGGCACCAGATGAGCTCTTAGAAAACTGGGAGATTTCAAGATAGGAGGTAGGGGAGAATTGCCACAGTTAGGGCCTCCCATGAGGCTGCCCCAAGGGCTCCCGAGGAGTGAGAGTGCTCTGTTACTGGAGTAGTCAAAAGACAGTCTTCAAGCATCCCGCCCCCTCCCCTCCCTGATATTCTTGCTGCCAAATGAAATCTGGCAGCTTCTGAAAATAGCTCAGTGCTGCAGCAGGCACTTTGCCCGCCCTTCAGCAGGCTGGCACGCAGCTGGGGGTGGCCACTGTGGGCAGACACTGGCACACACAGGCTGGGAGTAGGTGTCACACACACAGTGCATAGGGTCGGCACAGAGCTGGGGGCATGTAGCAGCTGCCATCCCTCAGCTCTTCTGACCTTTCCACACCAAGAGAGGATACAGGAGCCTGGAGTCAGCCTGGCATGGTTACCAGGCCTAAGGCACCCTCTCCAGTCAGGGTGAAATCACTAGTGGGTGTTAGCAGCTGCCCTTAGCCACTTTTGTCCACCCATGTAGACAAAGAGAAACCCAGGAACCAGGAGAAAATGCCAAAATGGTGTTTATTACTATCTGGATGTAAAACCTAGCAGTGCTGTCCTATCTGACATGGTCTAGTTCTTCCCCACCAGTGAGAGAGGAACCAGGTATAAAGAATTAGGCTAGGTGTTAGGCTTGTCAGGCCATATCAGGCCCTCAGCACCCTGAGGCTACCCTGGGCAGGGTGAGGCTGAGTAAGCATGGATCAGCCAGGAAAGGGCCCTCTCTGCTCCACTCAGGCCCAAGCTAAGACTAGACTTTCTGAGCATTGCTCAGCAGCCTCGCACAACCTCAGGTCCGAACAAGAGTATAGGAAGAGACTCCTGGTTAATGGAAAGCCTCCTAGCCCTGCCCTCCACTATCTACTTATGAAAGTACACCAAAAGATAGCCCCTACCATCAACAAAGAGGGGCTTTCCTTCCTAGCTTCCTGAGAGAGGCAGTAAGTATCACATAGTCCTCACCATAGTCCTCTGTGGTAGATACTGAGTGCATCCACTAAGGCACAAAGGGATAGTAATTCCCTGGGGCAACACCCAAATGGGGAGCAGGTGGGAGCACGGGAAGTATACTGGCTTTTGTCACAGTGGCATTTTCCAAAGTGGAAAAGGGTTAAAAAATATCCCCAACCTTCAGCTGAGATGAAAACCCACCTTTTGGATAGGTGGTAGTGACAGGATGGTTAGGCCCAGGGACTCTCTCAGGGGAGAGCTCTGAGTGCCTGCTAGACTGGGGCTGCAGCAAAGCAGGGTTGGACCACCCAGAGAGACAGGCAGACTAGATCCTGCAGCCTCATGGGGCCCAGAGAGAGATGAGCCTAAGAGAGGCAGATAGTGTGAGAAAGACTAACCTCCCCAAGAAGGCAGAGGTGAACCCTTGATTACCCCTCCTCCCTTCCTGTTCACTCACTCAGCACTCACAGACAGTTACACTGTCCCTGGTCACCATGGCAACCAATGGCCCAATGCCTTTCTCAAGACCAGATCCATCTGCCCACCCGGCATGGGAGTATCTCCCTGGAAGGCCAGAAGCCCAACCACAACTCCCAGCGGCCTAGAAGGCTAAGGTCATGCCCCGGAGTAGGACTAAGCTGAGGCCTCACTCAGCCCCCAACCCCTCTGCCAAAGGTGCTGCAGCTGTAGTGGGCAGTACCCCAGCTCCTAGGCTCTGCCCCTCTCTAGCGCCTCTGCCTGGGCTGGAGCTCTGAGGGCTGTGGGTCATGGTCCTCCATCCTGAAGTTCCAAGTGACAAATTAAAACACAACAAAATAATCTCTTTGTTAAAAGAATGCCCCTAGCCCTCCTGGCCAGGGCCTCAGCATACTCTAGTCTGTCACCCAGGATGAGAGGCCTGGCTTCTCCAGTGCCTCATGAGCTACTGGTTATTGCAGCCCTGTGAGACAGAGGAGCTGCCTGCCTGCTTTTTTCTCCGCTTGTTGAGGAGCCGGTTGTTAGAGGTCTTCAAGTCCTTGATCTTCACCTGGTCATAGTCCACCCGCATGGTGGCCAAGGCACTGGTCATCTCCTCCTAAGGACAGATAAGATGGGGAGGCACTAAGAGGTCAAGATGTACTGACCCTAAGAGCCATTACCCTCCTGTCTAGGCAGCCCCTATATAACATCAGTGATAGCAGTGACAGCTTGTGCTGCCCCACTGTCCACTATGTGCTCAGCACTGGGCAAAGCTTTTGTATCACATAGCCCTCACTATAGTCCTCTGTGGTCGACACTGAGTGTATGCACTAAGGCCCAAAGGGATAGTGACTCCCTGGGGCAACATCAAGGTTAAGTGGGACAGGGAAATGAACCCAATTCCACCTGCTCAGAACCACAAGGCTTGCATAGAACTCCATCTTGCTGGGTATCCAGGGCACCCATATGCTCAAACCTGGCCTCTGCTGAGCCTAACCAGGCTAAACACCCTCTCAAATGTTGTTGGTTATAAGAAAGGTTGTGACTAAAGCTTGAAGCCAAAATCTTTTCACTGAGCCCCTGGCCAAAAGCCCCCTTCACTGAGGAAGTGAGCCAGGAGTACTATCTACCCTGAATGGGGTAGTATGGCCCAATCCTCAGAGTGTCATGGTAGAACCACTGGGGCAGTCACTGATACCCTGTGCTCCAAGCATGGGAGAAGGGCCTAAGACCCCACACTTGGGTTGCTACCACCTTGGAGTCCCTTTATCTTTTTTTTTTTTCTCAGACGTTTCTTTCTAATGAATTGACCATTACATCTCCAAAGTTCTGAAATTGCCAACAGACCAGAGAAAGACAATTCTTTAGGCTCCTGCTTGAAATCAACAGCTTCAGCAAATTGCTGGCCTTGATTCAGGCCCAATGGAGTCCCTTTTTCCAAAACCCTGGAACCTGCAGGGAGAGCAAAACAGAAGTCACCCACCTTGACTTCATCCCAGTGGTCTTTGTCCTCCTGCAGCACTCGGGCTGTGTAGAGTGGGGTCTGTGGTACCACCATTGATTGCTGGAAGGAGCCCAAGCCCATGAATTAGAACCTGGAGGCACTTGGAACAGCACTGGTTCCCCTATGCTACCCCCTTCTCCCAGTTAGCAAAACGGGGGCACAGAGAAGTGAAGAAGCCTGACAGGGGCAGTGGCAAAGCCAGGTTGTGGGTGGGGCCCTACTGTCTATGCATAGGGCCATTCCAGCCCTACACTGGAGCCTTAAGGAAGGGCCACCACCCTCCTGCCTGGCAGCCCCGCTCCAGCATGATGCCCTGCCTTCTGCAGGACAAGGAAGTGCTCACATTAATCCAGGGGTGGTTCATGAACTGTGTGATGGTCAGTCTCTCTGTGGGGTCTGTCTTCAGTAGGAGACGGATCAGCTGCTTGGCTAAGGGGGCCAGGGAAGAGAGGGGAGGTGAAGTTGCAGGGTTCCTCACAGCCAGTCCCACCAACCTTTCCCCACAGACCACAAATGCTGTTGGAGCAAGGGCTACATGTGCTCCTAAATTCCTAACTCACAGAAACAGTGAGCTAACAGTTATTTCTTATTTCAAGGCACTATGTGTTCAGGGTAATTTTTAAAATAAAAATTAATAACTAATACTAGGGCAGAGTTGTTTGTGGTCCTTAGAGGAGAAAATATGAATGAGGAATAGGAGTTAGAGTTTTGAAGAGGCAAGTTTTGAGCCCATTTGGCAGATGTAGAAATTGAGGCTCAAAAAAGTTAGGTAACTTGCCTAGGGTCACACAATTGGGAAGTGGGGAAGCCAGAATTTGAACACAGGTCAGTTTGCCACCAAAATGATGTCTCCCAGATTGAAGACCATGGGGAACAGCTGGGGTTGGTAGGGGCAGAAAGGTTCACTCACCATCCTCAGAGACCTCTGACCACTCAGGATTGGGAAAGCCATACTGGCCTAGGCGGATCCTCCTCTTCATCCCTGGGGAGATAGCCTGGCCCGTGTTGGAGTAGAAGGGTGGAAAGCCACACAGACTGAGGGAGGGAGGAGGTCATTCAGCATGGGGTAAGGGACAGTGCCAGGGTGGACCCATTTTCTCCCTCAAGCCCCTATAAGGGAAAACAGCAGCCAGACACTGTAGCAACAATACCAGCCCTCCAGATTCTTGGGCACATCCCAGGAATATCATTAGCCCTTTGTATGGGGAGACCCTCAGGCAGTCTGAAGAAGTGATACTCTGTGACCAGAAGGGAAGGGCAACCTGCATAAGAAGTAACACACAGAACCCCTAACCAAGGACATGAGGGGAGGGGGCCAGAGTGGTACTGAGGGCACATAGTGGGAGTGGGGGCAGGAGGAGGAAGCAGGGAGGCAAGGATTGTACTCACAGAATGTACATGATGACGCCCAGGGACCACATGTCACATGACTTGTCATACTTCTCGGGACCCAGGACTTCAGGGGCTGCCAGGGCAGAGGGCACAGCAGGACTCTCAGCCCCAAGGGCTTAGACCCCAGGCGGGAGCCTGAAGCCAGGGCAATGTGGGAAGCAAGTGTCTGGGCTGGGGGGTGGGGCAGAGCAGACTAGTGTCTGGCACCTTCTGGGAAGGCAGCATATGTGTGAAGTTGGGGGAGGAGAAATAGCTCCCAGAAAAAATAAAACAGTTTCAGGCATCCCCCTAGCTCCTTTGGGCCCTGAATTCCTCTGCCAGTCTCAACCTTGGTGAAGGAAGAGATGCGGAGAAGGCCAGTCTGGGGCTTGGTGGGTTACTGCCATAGATGAGAGGACCTCAGCCTACCAGCTTTCCTGTGCCCCTTGCCTTCCTGAATGCACAGCCTCAGTCACAAGCAAGGAGGAACCAGGGACAGGGCTCCACATTCACCATTAGCTTGTCTACCAACCCATGGGGCCTTGGTTTTCCCATCTGTGCAATGAGGTGGGTAGGCTAGAATACTGCAAAATACGTCCTGGTAAAGAGTGCCATTTTAGCTGTCTCAGGGAGATTCCCACACTTTCAGCAGCTCTTCCAGAAGGCCTCTCTGACCTCTCCTAAGGGAGAAGAGCCCTCTGTCATCACTCCACTCTCAAGTTAGGAAGCACTTTCAGCAAGGGGCATTTCTAGACCTGGGGGTTGCCCACTTGCAGAGGAGTGAGGAGCTTTTCCAGGAAGCATGAGTATGTCCCATGGCCTGGCCTACAGGACCCTCTCCTACAAGGCAGGTGGCTAGCATCCTGTGTCCCTCTAATGTAGGAGGGAAGTCCTGCCCACTTTCTGAATATGAATCCCAGGAAGACAAAAACTAGAGAAAAACAACCGTGGTTGGGCTCCATCCCGAGCTGATGGCAGCCTTTTATCACGTTTATATTTAGAGCTGCTGTGATGTCATTCAGCTCACAGGCCACAGCCAGAATTTTCCTGGATCTATTTTCAAAAGCAGAAGCTGAAGTTTGGGAGAATATTTTTGTAGCCTCCAGCCCCCCACATCACCCACCTCCATACAGACAGAATCCTCCCCTTCCCTCCTGAGCATTAACCCTTTGGTTTCTGTAACTCACCAGCTGCCCCATACCACAACAGAGTACAGTTGGGGTAGGGAGGTACAAACCATGTCCTAAGGACTCACCCACATAATAGGGAGTGTAGCAGGGTGTCTGAAGGGCATTTTGGGTTGTCTCCTTGGCAAAGCCAAAGTCTGTGAGCTTAAGCACTGCGTCTTTCTCCTTGGATGTGTACAGCAGATTTTCAGGCTAGACCAGGAAGAGAAAACATTGGGTTAGAGTTAGCTACCAGATCGGGGCAGAGCACCAAGGTGATCTTCAGGCAGACTACCCTACTCCATCCCAATGCGGGAGGAGCCACATCCATATTATAAAAGACCTGGGCCTTGGCCACCAACATGGGCCAAATATAGCAAAGACCAAGATGACACCTTCATTCACAGAGGATCAAGTGAGGTAGATGTTCAGCCACAGCTGTGAATGACCAAGTGCCACAGAGAGCCTTAAGGGTTAGAACTTCTGATCCTGAGTTGGTGACATTGCCATAAAATGCCACAATGGGAGTGCTAGGGGAAGGCAGACTGCTCATAAACCAGTGTGGCCAAGCACATATCCCACATCCAACCCCAAATGAAATCTGCAGAGCCAGCAGGACAGCCCCACCCGAAGTTGCTCAACGAAGAAAGTCCCAATTACTCGGACTCCAGGAGCTGCACAGAGGCCATTCATCCTGCATCCCAGGAGCTGCTAGAGGCCTGGAGGATGACAGCAGTGGGGAGGTCTACATGGAGGAGGCAGCCCTGAAACTGGCTTTGAATGAATGGGTAGTATCTAGGTACAGGAAGAGGAGCAGGAGGGACACCAAGCAGAGCTGTAATAGGACAGGGTACTGGATGCAGCTCTAGTTTGAGATGATCTGACCACAAAAACAGAAAAGCAGGTTTAGTCTATACAAAGGAATCTCTTCTGCAGAAGCTTTCCTCCCCTTGGGAAAAAAAGAAGCCAGGATCAAATTAAAGCAAGGAGTCAGAAAGTATGTCTGCTGTGGCTTTACATGTATCCAGAATCAAAGGATAAGGGTAAGGGTTGGGTGTACTCCGTCAAAGAAAGGACCCTCAACACAGTTTTAGGAGGAAATAAGACATGGGGGGTAATGCTCCTGGCCTGGGAGGGTATAGATTCTGCTCTAATGGTGCTCGCATGTGCACGTTCATGCAGGGCTGCCTCCATCTGATCCTGATGACCTAAAGCCTAGTCCTCCCATGACAGGAAATTTGGAGAGCTGAGTTTCCAGCCTCAACACCATCCACTGCAAGGGTAAAAAAGCCCAACAACCAGGACTACCTCTGTTCCTGTCCCCAGTACCCAGCAGATGACTTTCTTTCCCTTAAAATGGTGGCATCAGAGGGCCTAATATATGCCAAAACTATGGCTGTGACTTCACAAAAGCCCCAGTAGTGTCAGGTAATCCCTGCTTGAGACTTGGCATATTGAATATACACAAAATTTACTGCTGAACAGGTGAACAAGTAAATGAATGTATCCCAATACAGCAACTGCACAGCCATGGGCAAGCCACTTAATCTCTCTCTGAGCCTCATTTTCTTTGTCTGTAAAATGGGTAATGGTACCTATCTCACAGGGCTAGATGTGAATTAAACAAGATGCTTGTCAGGGCCTACTGGCATGAGGTAGGCACTCAGTTATTCTTATTGCTATTTGGCTTACACAGTGTTTGAAGGAAACAAGGAGACCCATCTAGTAAGAACAGAATGAGTATGCCAAAACAAGGGAAGAAAAGGCTGACAAGAGCAGTCTGGGACAGCAAGCAGAGGCTATGAATGCTGGCCATGGAACCTGGCCTCCAACCAGTGGGAGCTGGGAACCATGAAAGGTTGTGGAGTGGGACAGTACCCTCTTCCCTGGTCCCCCTACCTTGACATCTCGGTGGGCAATGTTATGGCTATGCAGGAACTGAATGGCAGTGCCGATATCCCTCATTATTTCTGCTGCCTCTGCAACACAGATGGGGTGGTGGCAGGGAGATGTCAGTGGTGCCAGTCAAAGGTCAGGAAACCTGGGGGCCCCCCTCTATCATCCCTGGGGGCCACAATCTAGTAGGCCAGCACAAGATAGGGACAGTACCCCTGATACCCAAGACCTCTATCCCAGATTCCCACCCCAGATACCTCAGTTCCCTCCCAGGATACCCCCAGCCCACCTAAACCTCTTTCCTCAGTCCTGGGCTACCTTTCCCAACTCAACTGCTGGTCAGCACCAAGAGGCTTTGAGGCCTCCATCCCAAGGCTATGGAAAGTCCACCTCCAATAAGGTGTCACAGAAATTTTTTGGGGGATGGACACCGGATCCTACTCTTTGTTGCTCAAATGGGAAGACTGAGACATTGTCCCATATCACACAGCAACTCTGGTCCATTCCTCTCACCCTGAATCCCCTCACCAGTCCAGCTACATGCACCCACCTCTCTCAGTGAAAGCCTGATCACCGCGCTCCTGAATCCTGCTGAACAACTCACCACCTTCCATGCTGTAAGAGAGGCAACTGTAAGCTGAGATGGGGAACATCAAGCATCATCCTACCCCTGCACTGAATTGTAGGCCCAGGATTCAGGCCCTGCTGCTCCTCCCCTGGTGAGCAGTCACTGTCAGCCTCCCCATACCTTGTAGAACCTGGTGTGTGGTGGGCTATCAGCTTGGGTGGGTTGAGATGAACTCTTAGTACTAGGGGAAAGCAGTAGGCTCTGATCCCAGGAAACCTGTATTCCCAGTGGCACTGCCCCTGCCTAGCTGTGAGGCCTTTGGTAGTCTCTACCCCATCCAAATCCCATTTTCCCCAAGTATGGAATGAGATATTAACATCATCATATGACCAGTGTTCTCTAGGCACCTACTGCATGCTATGCCCTGGAATCCACACTTCATGTGCACAGCTGTGTAATCTTGGCCTGGTTCCTTCATTTCTCTGTGGCTCAGCTGTCTCTTATAAATTGGAGATAACAGCACCAACCTCACAGACTGAATATGTGATACACACGGGCCACTTAGAATGGAGTCAAGCAAGGCAAATGCTACATTAAGATCTTCCTCCATTATCCTCTGTAACACGAGTTACAGAGATTCAGAGAGGTTAGAGCTGCCCATGGTCTCACAGCTAATGGGTGACAGAGCCAGGATCTGAGCCTGAAATTTGAAGAACTAGCTAACCTGTGGAAGGAGGAAGGACTTGAAAGGCAGACAGGGAGAAGCTGGAGGCCCAAACATGGCACCCAGGGTCCAAGGAAAGCTGGGGCTGAGCCATAGTGCTAATGCTCCTGGTTCTAGGTCCCCATTACTCAGCATCTAGTGGGTCCATGTGAACAGAATTCCAGGTAGAAAGGGGAAAGCTGAAGGGACTGTGTGTGTCCTGCTCAAAGCCAAATCCCCCCACCCACCCATATTCAGGGCTTAGCAGCCTTCCAGCTCCTGATTTCCCAGAGTGGAAATCACACCCAGGATGGTCATATCAGAATCCCTGTTGCTTTTTCCCTACTCTTGAGAGAATCCCCTCATAGTCAGCTCTATAACTCCATGGTAGGGCCTGCAACTGCCCACTTCTCTGCCCCTCAAGGGCTGGGATGGCACCCAGAACTGCCACCTGAAAAACAAAGAAAGCCCCTAGAAGAATGGCAGGGAGCCTGGGGCCATAGGGATACCAATGGAGTGTCGAGACAGGATGGGCCAGCATACCATTCCATGATGATAAGGAGGCAGCGCTTGCCATGATGCATGTTCTCATACACGTCCAGGATGCATACAATGTGGGGGCCACCAGAGGCCTGCCAGTGGTGGTCCACCTCCTGCCGGGCCTTGGGGCTATCATACAGGAGCTGTGGGTAGGTGGGCACAGAAAGCATTAGCCTCCCAGTCCACTGCCCTCACATTGCAAACAATGACATATAAGCTCAGAGAGGCCTGTGACCTGCCCAAGATCACACAGTTTATAAGGGTACAAATGAAAGTTTGAATCCAGGTTTCCCTAACTTGTGGTCTGATGAGCTTCTGGACTTGAGGGTCAGCCCTGGGCTCAGGCAACTTGGCTGGTTGCTCAGGAGTCCCTGGGAGGTGGTTAACCACCTGGAGGGGCTCAGAGGCCAGAGAAGCCCCTGCATTCCTTCTCAGGGACACTTCAAAATGAAGTGGAAATTGAGTGGGTTTTAGGGTCAAATCACACATCAGCCATGACATCCCTTGAGCCTCAGTTTCACAAGGAGGAGGATAGGGTTGCTCCATTTCCCAGGCTAGGATTGGGAATTGTATGTGAAATTGTACAGGATGGCACCTGGCACATAGTCCATGCTTGGTGCCCCCTGGGATCCTTCCTCATCTAGCACCTCCATGTGAAACAAAGTGAAGCCAGGGGAGGGGAAAAGGTATACGAAAATGCAAATCTGCCCTGCAGGCCTTACCATGACTGGAGCATGACTAAAGGCCTCCTGCAGGAAGGATGAGGCCTATCCTTCAGTCCATCCATCCCTCACTACAAAACTGGCCCAGCACAGAGGGAGACAAGACCAGGCTCCTGCAGGAGTGAAGATAATCAAGACTTCCAATTCTCCAGGAGTGGACGCTGAAATAAAACTGTCACTATCAAGAAAAGTGCTTCTAAAATGAGTTGCCTGGTCATGACTGCCCAGTCAGTTCCCAGTTTCCAAGGCAACTTTGTAGCCTTCCAGGGAGCTGCTGTGGAGGGCTAGGACAGCAATGCCATCCTGCTGCTAGAGAGGTGGGGACATTTCAAGGTGACAACCCTGCTGCCCAGCTTCCACCCAGAGGTAGACTGGAGGCAGGGAGCACTCTCACTGAGGAAGATGATAGCCAGGTGGAGTGAGATGTGATTGGAACTGGATTCCTCCAATGACTCAGTGCAACCTCAGGCAAACATTTACAGCTCCCAGCCGCAGCCTGCAACTTGGTAAAATGTAGTAACAGCAGAGTTATCCCCAAAGTTAACAACAAAGCAAGCAGTAGATAGGCAGTTGTCAGAATCCTTGCTCAGGTGAGCTCAATCCTGGGCTATGGCTGCCAACCATCTCCAGAAATGAGCAAGGCCCCGAGCGGCCCAACTGTAGGGGAGGAAAAGTCAGCAAGCAGGGGGAGATGGCTCAGAATGAGGAGAGCCGGGACAGGCCATTCTCCAAAAGGGGTGGTCACCCAAAACCCAAGATCCTATCATGTGGTATTTCCCAAGATCAGCCCGGCCCTGCTCAGTACCCTCAGGACACTGGACCACCCTCAGCCTTGATTTCCTTCTCTGCAGAGTAGAGAGAGTAGGCCACTTTATACAGGATACTGTTGGTGCAGTGTCCTCTCCCTTTGTGACTCTTTTCTACCTGTGGCCATAGATCACTTCCCCTCATCCTCCAGATAAACACCACCTCCTCTCCCAGCCTCCAAAACTTGTCTTCCTCTCCCACCTCCCTAGGTAAAGGTAAACTGGGGCAGGGTTGTGTCCCAGGGAGGGGAGAAGAAGGCAATGTTTTCTCAAATCAGCAGCCCCTTGGCTATTCCTCCATTTCTGGAGTTGTTCCCCTTAACCCTAGCCTGGGAATACAGGCAGTGCAAGGAGTACAGAGGATAGTGCAAGGAGTCCCTGGATAAGCCCTTCTACCAGCTCTGGGGTCCTTCCTCCATTATCCAGACCAGGCTGGGTGTATAGGAGGCTGCCGTGGGCAGACACTCCTGGATACCATGGATCCCTTGCTCATGCTGCCCTTGCCGCCCAGAACACCCCTCAGGTCAGTGCCCACACAGCCTCCAGTCACCACCTTCTCACTCACAGCACTAGGTGTCACCTCAGTCACCATGCCAGCTCACTTTCACCATGTCTTGGGGCAACTCTGCCCTAGTCCTCAGCCACAGGAGCCAAGATCCACCATCCCCCCCCTCCCTGCACTCCTTTCCTCCTTTGTCTCCTAACCCTCCCTGTGGCCATGACCCTGGCCCTTCCTCCCAAGCCTGAACTGACCATCTTCTGTCAGACCTCTCAGGCTGGCTCCTGGACTCCCTCCTCACTACTGCAGTTGTGGCATCTCACCCCATACCAGAGTCCTCCTCTTTTCTCATAAAATCCAAGCTCCCACTGGCATACTTTCAATAGGGTTCTCAGCCCTGTCTCTCTCTCTCTTTCGGACTCTACTCCACCTGTGGCCACAGACAGCTTCCTCATGTTCTCCAGGCAAGTCCTCCGGGCAAACGACAACTCCTCCTCCAGCATCTGGGGCTTGCATTCCTCTCCCACCTCATTTCCTGCTACCCTGGGCCCCAAAACACTTTTTGTTCTGGCCAGAGTGATGATGTCTGTGCTGTTCCCAAATGGGCCTTGCTCCGTCAAGCCTCTGTGTCTATGCCTGTGCTAGTCCATACCACATGCATTCTTTCCCTATCTCCTCTGTTGAGTCAACTCCCTGTTTTTGAGGAACTTTCTGGGCTCAATTCATATTTCTCTGCCTCTGGAAAGTCCTCCCAGCACCTATGCCAATGTTTTTGCCTCTTCCTTCCACTGGGTGGGACAAGTTTGAGGGCAGAGGCAAATCAGGTTAATCTGCAGATCCCTGGCTGGAGCCTAGCAGGAAATATTGGGCTCCTGAGCAAAGAACGGGTGGGAGGATGGGTAAAGAGCTGGAGGGAGAAGGGAGCTGTGGGAGGGAGAGGAGGAGGGAGGATGATGCCAAGGAGGGGCCTGAGAACCTCCCAGTCTGGGCCTGCACCTTGTGCTTTGTTGAGGTGGAGGAGCAGGTGGTGTTGCCCTGAGTTGGAGCCTCTTGAGGCTTCTTGCCTGACTCAGTCCATATTTAGGAACCCATTTCCCACATGGATTAAAATAGTCCTTCTCCAAGTGCCAAAGCCCTGAGAATAAACACAGGGGTGGGAAGAGTGCTGTACCCAGAAAACATAATAAATGCCCCCACTGGCCTCTCTGCAAAGCAGATCACAGGGATCGGAGCCTGGACCTGAGCCCATGCAGGTCCAGCTTCCAAGAAATCCCCTGAGCTGTCACTCCTGACCCCTCAAGTTGACCCTGAACATATCCCCAAACCTCTTACAGCCTCAGTTTCCTCATCTTTTTTCACTATAGCCAGAATCTTCCTGTCCTCCAGGACTCCCCTCAATATCACCTCCTCTCAGAAGCCCTCCCTGACTGCCCTGTCTAAAAAGGATCTCAAGGGTCCTTCACTTTCTCTTCATCCTTTGTTTTCCTTCTTTTTATATAAATGCTTTGTTTATTGAGGGACAATTTACATACCGGAAAAAGCACAGGTCTCAAGGGTCCAATTCAGTGAGTTTTGACAACTACATACACTCTTGGGAGTTACACCCCCATTAAGACAGAAAACATTCCCAGTTCCCCAGAAAGCTCCCACGTCATCGCCCTTTTTACCTCCTGTGTAGCTCTTGCTCACAACCTGCAATTAGCTTGCTCCTGTGATAACTCTTTAAACAAACACACACATACAGACATTGTACTTTCAACATGCCTGCCTCTTGTTTGGAGCACTTTATAAATACTGGAAGGAAAGGACTTCATCGTTACCATGTTTTAGATGAGAAAAACTGAGGCATGGAGAAGGGAAGTAACTGGTCCCAGATCACATGGTTGTTTTCCCAACCAAGCTGGTACCATGCTGCCTCCCTCATGAGACTGTGGGCTCACAGGACAGGGCCAATACTGGGGCACAGAGCACTGACTCAGATAATATTTGTAGACTTAATGAACAAATCTGTAAAGTGGGAATGAGGAGAGGAAACCCTCACAACCCATCATGAAGTCAAGATAAGATGAAACTGAGGAGGACCCAGGAAAGCTCAATAAATGGGAGCCATGACAGCTTGGCTAAACTTGTTCCCCGTTGCCCAAGGGCAGCCTACCCTTTCTGTTGAATCAGACTTTACCTCCTCTTCCAGGGACCTCATCATGACTGCTCCAGTCCAAAAGGCATTGCTATAAGTTGTCCTCATTCACACAGATACATGATCCACACTATCCTTCATAAAAGGTGTCAAGTAAGAGCTCTGTCTTTTCAGGTATGGGAATGAGCACAGGGCTAGGACACAGGAGGTCCAGATTCTGTCCTTAATTCCAGTATGGCCTTGGGCCAGTCCCTTTTCTTCTCTGGGCCTCTGGTTCCCTAATTTAAGATGCAGGGCTTGGGCAATATGGGGTATGGGAGAGAAGGGGGGCAACAAGGGGGACCTCTGCACAGGGGACCTTGCAAAGCACCTACCACAGTCCCACATCCACATCATTGCCCCCATGGAGCAGCCCCCGGGACTCCACAGACTCCAGATATACATACCTGACTCCACTGGGAGCTGCCTGGGATGGACAATGGTGTCTTTGTCCTCAGTCACAGCTGAGAGGCCAAGAAGATGGGAAGGGGCTTCTGACAACCAAAAAAATCCCCACCCTTTCCTCACTCTTGTTCTATGTTCTCTGAGCCCCCCAGAGGTCCACCAGAGCTAAGAGGGTCTATAATGGCACCTGGGCAGCTCACATCTCTAGCTAGTGCCCAGTAGGTACACACACACACACACACACACACACACACACACACGAAGCCGAAATCTGACTTACAGCCTCAGTTTCCTCATCCTAAGGTCCTAAGGAAGGGAACCACTGCGTCTAAGATGACATTTCCTTGAACAAATGACACTGCTCTGGCCTCAGGTTTTAAGTTCCCACCTCCCCTTTTCCCCATCGCCCTCCTTTGCCAAATTCTATTTACCCCTGAGGTGGCAGCCAGAAGGCCAAAATCCCTACTGATCTCCCCAGCCAGTGAGCCCCAGCAAGAGTTGAGAACAGGAGGGCCCATGCCCCTCTAGTACTATC